TGTGTGTGTGTGTGTAAGAGAGAGAGAGAGAGAGAGAGAGAGAGAGAGAGAGAGAGAGAGAGAGAGAGAGAGAGTTTGTGTGTATTTATAATGTATATAATTAATGTGTATGTGTGTGTGAAGTTTTGTCTAAAATATTCTATGGAACCCTGATGAAACATTAATATACAGAAAATAGCACTGCTGGTTTAAAAAGTGCAATATAAGAAGAAAGGAGGAAAAACACGCATTTGGATGTCCTCAAAAGTTATGCAAAATAGGAAAAGGTTCATGGGCGTTTTAAGCACAGTTCGGTGGTAGTTAGTAGAGGGGCTCTTAATTCCTTTTCTTTCTAAGATATGATGTGCAAGCGTTTGTTTTACTATTTGATCGAGCTAATAGTTTAGTCAGCCCACATAGGCAAATAAAACCCGTATGAATTGACTACTATACTGCAGGATATGATACTCTTAGCCTCTGAGAACATTTAAGTTTATGTGTTTTTGTGTGATGTTCGTTTCATCGATTAATTACAACAAAGTTTATGATGAACTGAGTTTCTTTTTAGGTGTTTTTCTCTCAAAATATTTCGATTGTGCAAGCCATTTTTATGATTTCAATGATAGACCTACGAAAACGCTGCATTGTTATCTATCTGGAAAGAAAAATAAAACAACCCCCCCCCCTCCCCCCCAAAAAAAATGTTCAAGTAGGTATCCTTCCCAATACCGTGTCTTGTTAACCATCAGAAAAGCAGTTAGTGCCGGTCGTATATGCTTTGGACTTGACGTTTGGCTGACCCATGGCGCATGTTCTCTGGGAAAACTGCTTGTTGTCTTAGGAAATAAGAGCCAAGGGGTCAGCGAAGATTGGACACAAAGGAGACTTCGTTGTGGTCAAAGGATAATAGCGTTTGTGGTCGGGCTAAATACTTTTCTGGTACTTGTACCTGTATGCACCTTTCCAAAGTATAGACTCACTGACGCTTCTGCCTTATTGTTTTGTTTTTCTGTGTGTGTGTGGAGGGGGGGGGGGTAGCAGAAATGAGACGATTCCTCCTTCTAGGCAGTTTTGCCAAAAGGTGTTTTCGCTGATATTTTTGTTCTTCTTGACGTTTTGTTGTAGTGGTTCTTAAAGATACTGATCGTGATTGGTCCAAGTTGGGAAAAAATGTTTTTCTGTTGCTCATTTTCGTAATATTTGGTTACTAAAAATTTGAACTTCTTTCTTTAGCTGTCATTTGATAGAGGAATACTCGTTTTCTTGATAATTTATTATTCCATCTCTCAAAAAAAAGTAAACTGGTCCCCCTGAAGAAGACATAGAATCATGTACATGTTGTCAGTTCCCTGTAACTGGTGAGCAAACATGATTTATGTTGCGTTTTTAGTCAGTTTACTTTTTATTTCCAAAAGCAATCTCCCCCACCCCCATCCACAATCACCCTCTCTCCTTTTCTCTCTCTCTCTCTCTCTCTCTCTCTCTCTCTCTCTCTCTCTCTCATTCTCTGTCTCTATCTTTCCCTCTCTCTCTCTCCCCCTCTCTCTATCTTTGTCTTTACCTCCTTCACTCACTTCCTCACTTCTCTTTCCCCCTCACTCTATTTCTCCTCCCCCCGCCCCCCCCTCTCTCTCTCTCTCTCTCTCTCTCTCTCTCTCTCTCTATCTATCTATCTATCTATCTATCTCTCTCTCTCTCTCTCTCTCTCTCTCTCTCTCTCTCTCTCTCTCTCTTTCTCTGTTTCCTGCTTTCTCTTTTTACTCTCATTTTCTTCCTGTTGTTCTCAGTCTTTCCAACTTTATTTCGCCCGTTCTCCCACCCTTTCGCTTGTATGTCTATGTGTGGCGGGATGATAGGTGCGTGTTGTTCTTTTATTGCTTGTTCTTTAGGCCAAAAGGCTAGAACTTAAATGGTCGCTGGATTGGAAAAATGAAGCATTGCTTGTTATCCTAAAAATATGCTAACATTGAAAATTATATAACAAATCCTTTTAATTCCATATAAATTCACTCACCACCCCTCTAACCCTCTACTCCCTCATATTTCAGATCCTTCACGGCCCAGTGAAATCACCGAGCCGTCAACGAGCGCCACCTCCATGCACGCCGGCCGGATGTACGACCCCGGCCCCGAGCCCCCACACCCGCCTCACAGCCACCTCCAAGGACCCGCACACAGCAGTGACCTCAGCATGCCGCGCCGACCTCAGAGCTTCGGGAACCCCCACATGGCCTCATCCGGTACCCCTCCGAGTTTCCTCAACATGCCGGCCCCTTCCCAAGTTCAAGGTTACTCCGGCCCCAGCTCCGGAGCCGTGACGTCACAAAACGGAGCCATGGTGCCTCCTCACATGGAGGGTCCCGCCTCGGGATCTCTCAAGCGGCCGGATTCTCTGTGCTCCAACAGTAACGACTCCGGTCTAAGTGACGTCAATTGTACCTACTCTGAGCAGACGCTTGACGGTCTTCGCCCGAAAATCTGGTCTCTGGCTCATGTAGCCACGTCGGAACCCGGCTACATGAACCACGCCGTTACCCCCAGCGGCAACAGCAGCAGCAGCAGCAGCAACAGCAACGTGAACAACAGCCTATCTCGTAATCTGAGCTCACACCCAAGAGGACTTATCGGTGGACCCATGCCTACAGGAGGCATGGGTCAAGGTCATATGCCCCCAAGCATGCTGGCAGGCTCTATGGGTCTCACTGACAATACTCACCTCTCCTCCGTTCCACCACCACCCTCCTCCTCCACGCCCTCGTCAATGCCTCCTCTCTCGGGACACATGTCTCACCAGTGGGGATCTATATTCGGCAGTCACGGGCTAGGAGGAGCTCCGCTTGGTGGCGCTGGGGGCGGCGCTGGTGGAAAGTCCCCGTGTGGACCGGGACCTCTATTCCCCCCTCAGTCAATTCCTCCGGGTATGGGCCCAGGGATGCCCAACGGTCCGCCTAACACGATGGCCACCTTACATTCTTCCTCACCCTCTCCGTCAGCTTATAATCAAAATATGTCGTCGCCGGCCAGCTACTACCCTAACCAGAAAATGACAATGGACTGACCACGAAGTAAGGTCTTTCTGCCTTGACTATATTCACTGACTACTCTTCATGGTTGACTGTCTACATACATGTATCTCATGACTGTGAGAGAACGCGCTTTCTATCTCAATTTATATTTCGTACATGTGCTTCGCTTTTGCACCCACAGTTAACAGGAAGGACGCCGTAAGCAAAATACTTTTTATACGTGTATTTTTGCAGTGCCCAGTTACTGTTTGGTGACTGTTCTCAAATCAACACCGCCTGTTCTACCTTTCGCCATGGAGAGATTCAGAAAGAATCCTTTTCGTTCGTGTGTTCATGAAACTTGATGTAGGTACGGATTGGTGCTTTGTATGATCTGGACTTAGAAAAGTCACGTCTTGTGATCATTGGTCAAGAGGTCATCTTCATAGAATGTTCCTCTCGAATTGGTTCATGTTCCAGTGGTGACAAGCTTGTGTCGTAAGCATGATGGGGTAACTTATATTAGAATAAACCTGTTTGATTTCGACGCCCAAGTCAGGCCACTCAAAGCAGAAGATGGTGAAGAGAACGACTGGGGATAATTAAGAGGCCGTTTAGATGTGCAGTGTTGACAGTGGGTTAAGGTTTATAGTACTAAATTCCAATACGGATGGAAGAAAAGTACGTTTAAATTGTCCAAGTCGGCCATCCATTGAAGAGGAGAAAGAAGTTGTTTTAAACAGGTGTACATAATGAACAGTGTAATTATAATGTTCTAAAACGCAAGGGGGAAATTGGGAGGAGCTCGTTTGTGCACGAAATTTTCTTTGACAAGTGTTAGTTAGAGCAGATTCAATTGCACTTCTCTCTAAATAACTACAACAACCCCTTTCGGAAATAACATTCCAGCAAGCAATGGCAAAGAAAAACTGGCAGCATCCTCAACTAATTCAGCAGTGTTGCATGGGGAAACATGTGACTTTAATGAAAAGTGTCTTGGCAATTCTGTACCTCAAACAATAGTTAACACTTGATCTGTGTGCGTCGAGATTGCTTTAGATGAAGCGGTAGAATTTAAGGATAACTTTGGAAGACGTGGTAAAATCTAAACATAGCTTTGAATGACGGGGTAGCGAAACATACCTTTGGATAACATGGTAGAATCTACACATAGTTTTGGGTGACGTGGTCCTGTTGGTGGAGAATGTACTGAGATCCATGCACTCACACCTGAGGCTGAAGAAAAGGGTCATAGTTTACTTTCGTTAGATTTTCACATGGAAACATGTTGTTAAAGAGAGGTCGAGAGAAGAATAGAATAAAAACCTTCAGTATGAAAAGAAGGGCGGCAGAAACCCGCAATTACCTCAGGAAAAGTATGAAACGCGATCATGTACCACCGCTTAGGTCAGACTAAAACTATCAAGTATACAGCTACTGGGATAGCAAGTTCGTCATTATATCGATCTTGAACAGTTTCGGGGTTTGTCAGAACACCGTATGTTTTTTATGTGGAAGCGATTAAATATTCGTCTGTGGACGAGATAAATACTTATCTCGTATTGTATGCCCTTTTCCATAGTATACACTCACATTGTTATTTTGTGGAGTAGGTCCCACACAATAGTCATCTCACCATACAGAGTCAAAAGTAATTAATAAGGGCAAAGTTTAGAGAACGTCTTTCACTTAACTCAGTGCGCATATCAAAGGACCAGCATTCTTAGTATGTGACATTTTTGGTCTGTGCTATATATAAATCCCTCCATCGTTACTGACCAAAAAACTGTCTCACGATACAGGACAAAACAATTTTATTCAAACTATATTATACTAAGCCTAATTGGGTACTAATTTAACACGCTTTAGATAAATCATGGGATGTCGGGGGGGGAGGGGGGGTTACCCCCATCAAACCCCGAGACGAAAAAACAACAACTTTTGAGGAGTTTTAGAGGAGTGGAGGAGGGGGGCATCTGTTTTTACCTCAAACTTGATGTTTTGCAATAAGGTTTGAAATTATTTTGAAAACGATTGATCCGGGACAATAACATGTGTGAGTTGCAACTAAAAAAATACAGTCCGTTTGACCCCCCAAAACAGTGCGTCGGTGTAGGGGAGTGAAAGTAAAAATGTACCGTCTGCTTTTGTTCCCAATTGCTTTTGCAGGGGAGGGACAAAGGAACGGCGGAATTAGGTGCAGGCCTTCATGCGCAGACGATGAGTTTTCGTCGAGGACGTTCTCTTGACTTCTACCTTAATACGATCCATATGTTCAGATAGACGGACATAATGTACCAAATTCATAACTAACAAGTAATTATTAATCTCTGCTTGTTAACAACGGCTGGAAAGCATTTGTTTTGTCATAATATAATAGTCAAAAGCAGACGCGGTACTGTTGGTTTAGAGAACTGACCTTAGAAGAAGAGAAAACAGGTTAAGAGTGTGGGGGGTATGGGGCTACGTGCCAGAATTTGAGTTCTACGAATGATTGGTGTTGAAACATTAGCATCTGTTTTCACAGTTTTTCAGAATTTCCAATAAGCCCTGTGGCCTTTTCTGAAAGGACAATGCTCCTGTGCTCCGCAGATGTTTGAGGACTGTAGACGTAGGTAGTAACGTTCACCTTTGTTAACACTTTTCTTCATAAATTATCGAAACTGTGTCTATGGGGGCGGAAAGCGACCGACTTTTCAAAACAGTTATCTCAAAAAATGTAAAATTTACTAATAGAACATTATGTCACCAGGAATGCTTGTAGTCTTGTATGGGGCCAATATGGCATAGTGCAATTTGTTTAAATGTATGTAGTAATTTTAACTATGTATAAGGCCTTTTTCGACCTTTCCAGAAAACATATTATTTTACTCTGTCATTATGCCACTTAAAAAGGACTCTAAGGGTTAAATGTTACGATATAAACTACATTATATGTTAAAACTGGCTTGACATAGGAGTGCTCGTCAGACATTTAGCGATTTCAACATGTGTGCCTATCACTATTAGAATAATAATGGTCTGACACCAGCGAGAAGCTTTGAGTAAAAGTTTCGTAAGAATTAGAGCTATGACCTAAATGTCCATTTCAACTGTCAGAATAATATTTCAAAAGAACCGTTTCTGAGGTTGGATCTTTGTGTGATCAAGAGATGTGACAACTGAAGTCCATTGTAGTAATAAGTCTGTTTGCACAAGAAGTAGAGATAGACACTCGAATTTTCAAGGGCACATTATAATATGGGACAACTCCAAGTTCAAGCCTCGGTTCGGACACGGATTTTTTTCGCCCCCTCCTGCCCACCCAGCAGTAATGGATACCTTACTCCGAGTAGGAGAAGTAAAGATGGTGTGGAAAGAAACTGGCCACCCTACCACAATATGCCGAAGGCCCAGGAAGCTTTCTCACTAACAAGGCAAACCCTCATTGTCCGAATCGGATGCGAGAAAAACTTTACTTTACCCAAAGCCGTCACCGTCTCCATGACTGATGCGATTGCTTGCCAATTTCGTGCTAATGAAGGGTGTAAAATATCAGCTCACTAAAGCCTTATTTGACAACTTTTATACTCTAGATTTTAGCCCCCCTCCTCCCCCTTCCTCTTCCATTAGCTTTGAAATTGTACTGTCAACTATTCTCTTTTCTTTGTAAACGTATTCAAACGATGCTTTCATGCAGGGTAGGCCAAATTCATCCTTACACAAACAACGCCTCTAGATTTTCAGTATCGCTTTCACGTAAATTGTAAAAAAGAACGTATTATGTAAGAGACTTTACATTTACAATGTACAATTTCTGTTCACTGTGTAAATAGTTGTACTTTCCCGTGAGAGCGCACACGACAATGTTATGCTTGACCCACCATTGTTGCTGACGTTGCCATACTATCTATCAAATTGCAAATCGAACAAATGAAACTGAATCAAAAGCTGAATGTAGGCGAACCTTATACGATTAATCTGATTAATTCTGATTGCAGTTGAAAAAATCTGTGTTTACAATAATATTATATTTCTGCCATTCATTGTTTTTAATACTGATGTATTTCTTTTCACGATTGGAAAATGATTTTTTATTTGGTCATCGTATTATCTACTTTGATGAAATTGTATAACCCGCTTGACTGATTCTGCTCATTTTCCCTCTTCGGTCGGAATCATATTATTGTCTGCATCAGATCTGAAGCCCGGTCTTTGGGCAAAGGCAGTTGTCATTTCCAGGTCTTTTTTCTTCTCTTTTTTAGGGAGGAGGGGGGTGTTTACCCAAATTCTACACCTTAAGACAAGTAACACTGGGAGTTGCGGGGTTGGTTAGGGGTCGGTAGGGTGGGGTGGG